CTCCACTTCAGTAGTCCATATTCCACTGGAAACTTGTTACATGACTAATTAATACTAATTACAGTAAGTCATAATATATCCCTTGAACAATTTTATAAATGGCAATTTTCAATAGCTATGTTAGTTTACCAGAGGGTACCCTCCGGTAATCAGCTTCATGGTTTGCTGGAAACTCCAAGAATTTCGTCTGATTTTCCCAGCTCCAAGTTCTCCACTTGACGGTAGGGTTGTACGATTGATCTCCCAATTACCCCATGAATTTCCAATGATAAAAGTGATAAATCTCTCGTGACTCAAGAGTGTTGAAGTGTTGATGGCTCTGGTGTTGATGCTAGTTCACCTTCAACAAAAACCTTCCCATGAGCCGATGATGAATGTCCCATTTAATTAGTGAATCTAGTGTTTTTCTGGTACTTCACCTTCAAAAAGTCATAAATCATCATAAATCACATGGGAATATTTAGTAATTCATGGTAGTTGATGGTAGTTCTGATGATGCTACCAGCGAGGTCTCCAATGCTCTGGCGCTGCTGGGGCTCACCTATCCCATTGCCGAAGGCACGGTCGTCATTGGTGCGGTTTACGAAAGCCGTTACTAGGACCTATAGGAATCATACACTAACTGTTACGGATATGATTCCTATATGATTCCTAAGATACTATAGGTAATAGTACTATTATAGGTTTTTATTATAGGTTTTTGTTATGGGTTATTCACGAGGTACCGGAGACCGCAGGAGATACTACTGTATTACCTATAATAGGGATAGTTATCAACCAGTGCAGCAGGATGGGATAGGCGTATTGTTTATTTTTCATATGTAGGAATATTCGCCGTCTTTGCGTCCGGTCAAAACACGGTTCATTTTCCCATAGGGGATGGGTCATCAATCGATATGGATCGATTTTTCTAGGGATTTGTATAGCCAAGACACTGGTTAGTGGTTTCAAACATTTTTTATTTTACATTTCATATATGGGATGTCATCCTTCCCAGTGACGAAGTCATATTTTTCAAGCTGGTTATTGCACCACCAACCAGATGATAAACATTCCACTTGTGAGATGGATGACCACAAACCATCTGCCATATTTTCACCCTAGCACGTATATTCAGCTACACGTGGGTTGCGCTTCGAAAGCAAGGCTTCCCAGGCTTGTCGCTTTGTCGACGTCATGGTAAGCCGGTTGAATCATTGCCCCAAACACGTGATGTGGTAAGCCAGTAAGCCCAGTCACGTCAGGCCCAAGTCTTGAAGCTGTGTATTCCAAGCCATGGTATATAGAAGTGGCCATAGTCTGCTATTGTTTGTTTACGCATTAATACAAGTTTTTTGATGGCCTCAAATCCCATGGTTGATCATATTTGATCATCAAATTACCCACAAAGTCAGAAAGTGCGAGGTTGGTTGTTCATCCATTTATTCCCTGCTATCTCCCCAATATTCTACCATGTCCTATCCCCATTATAGATCATTATAGTCCATTCATATTCCCATTTTGTACCCAATCAACCACTGGTTCACTGGTGGTTTGGGCTGGTGGTTCAGAGTGATGTGGAATTCTAGGATGACCCTGAAGGGGATTATCACTATGGGAATATCCGCACAAATCGAAACCACCAACCCAAACCACCGGTTAACCATTGGTTGGAGCCATGTACTCTCGTTTTTACCCTCCGGTAATGATTCATCCATTCCCAAAAAAACATCATTCGCCATGTGTTGATGACACGTCCTGCCACGTCCTGCCGCGGCTTCAGGTCAGGCAGGTGGTGTGCCGCGGCGCAGTGAACCTCTGCAGGAGCTGTTTGATAACAATTGCCATTTTGAAATATTTTGAAGAGATAGATATATATATATATATATATTCATGGAGGTTTCCTAAAATGGTGTACCCAAACATATTTTGATAAGATATCCTGAACTGTATGACATTTTGAAATGGGGTACCCAAATCGAGATACATCCGTATTCTTTTCTAAACGGATAGACTGACAGTTTTCTAAAACTGGGATATATGGGGGTTTTTGACATTTTAAAATGGGGTACCCAAATCGAGATATATCCGTATTCTTTTTTTTAATGGATAGACAGTTTTTTAAAACTGGGATATATGGAGGTTTCCAAAAATGTTGTACCCACACATGTTTTGATGAGATATCCTAAACTGTATGACATTTTAAAATGGGATACTCAAATCGAGATATATCCTTAGTTTTTTTTAACGGATAGACAGTTTTCTAAAACTGGGATATATGGAGGTTTCCTAAAATGGGGTACAAAAAAATGGATGGTTGATGATCAGAAACCTAATTGAAATGACATATTATGTATGTGTATATATATATATATATGGATCAGTACCTATAAATACCGTATAAATACCGTTTATAGGGTACGTGCCAGGCTTTTGACATACATGTATATACCCTCTGGTAATTTAAGATAGTTATGGAAAATGATCCATTTATAGTTAATTTACCTATAATAACAAATGGCGATTTTCCATAGCTATGTTAGTTACAGAGGGCAGTAAATGGACAAATCTGCTATGAACGGGATAGCAAATGGGATAGCAGAAAAGGGATTAAGCAGACTATTTTTGTTATGGGTATATAATTGGATCTAATACGAGATGTGAAACTGACAATAATAAAAGGGTTTGTCCAAAAATGAGGCCTCAAGATGGCAATGTTGATGGTGAAAATATGGGTAAAATGATGATCAACCATGGCGTGGAATGGTTTTTTTCGCCAATCTTCAGAAGCCAACTAAGCTTTTGGCTACCCTGGCGATGGGAAACGAATGAGCGTGGCGAACAGTGTGGCCATGGCGATTCTCCACACTCAACGGTCGGACTTTACTTGGATGGTCGTGGTAATCAAAAATTCTAGGTGATGATTATAGGATTATTCTCCACTAGCAATGGGCGTTGGGGGATAGTACTTCATAGTACTTCCATATTCACTGGAAGTACTATCCAATATTAATTATAGTCCCCATTATACAATATTATCCAATATTATCCCAATAGCAGTACTATCCATATTCACTGATGGGAGATCCATATTGTCCATATTATCCAATATTATCCATATTATTGACCATCCATATGATCCACTTATTCTACCTTTCAGCAGTACTGTCACTAGATTGACAAGTCCTGGGTGATGAAAAACGGGGTGTCCATCCCTCAGGTGAGTGCTAAAAAACATCAGTTTTTTGTCGGGAAAATGGCTGCTATTGTAAATGGCTAATAATCGGTCGCAAATAAAAAAGGACCATGTGCACATGATTGTCATTTAAATATCCATTTTCCCATGTATAGATCATTTAAAGTAATTTAAAATCATTTAAAATCATTGAATCACTTCGCATTGTGGATAGAGAGGGGTACGGCTTGCCGTGTTGAAGTTACTAAGGTGGTGAGGTTCTACTCACATTTTCTCGGGGCCTCTGTCTCGAAGACGAAGCAGGCGGGAGGTGAAGGGCGTGTTCAGCGTCTGGGTGGAAGAGCTGCAGATAATTTTGAGATCATTGGGATATCTGGGAGATCCACTATATAATCTGGGTAAATTTCATCACGACCTCACTGTTCTCCCTAAGCCTGGAATCATGGTTAGTAAGGGAAATCATCCCCAAATGGCCGCAAGATTCAGGTTAGTGAAATATTATAATTTGCCCAGATATAATGGGATATGTTAATATCCACTAAATTTCTCCACGGTTATCATCATATAATGGGATAAATCCCAATATCATAACACCATTTAATATTGTGATATGATGGGATGTGTATATATATAACTTATATATATAATGAATCATAATCATGATGGTCATAATGGTCAATGATAGGAGATATCGCCGACGCATGGCGATACAATTAGATTAGATACTATGGAAATATATCACCCTCTATCCTCCAATATTTCACACGGCCTTTCTGAAAACATCATCCATTTAGTTCGATGAAAACATCCGATATGTTCCTATCAAGAATTCGAATGTTTCATTGCCACGTTACTAGAGGGTACCATCCACATCCCAGTTTTGGGTTCGAAAGGGTGTTCATTTCAGTTTCTCCATGGGCTTGCGTTTTCTACTCTGGCAAAAGTAAGAATGTCCATGTTTTCACAGATTACCATCTGGCTGGTGGTTTCCATTATATACTTTACATTGAGCCACATTTGGGATTATGTTGACTATATTACATCTTCTTTGGGATGAAACCCCAACCAAATATGTCCCGTGCCAGAATCGAAAGGACACTTTAGAGGAAGCCCTAGAAGTGCAAGGAAATGAGCACAAAACCATGGTTTCCTCCACTGTCCTCTAAAAAAAACGCCATAACCACTTCCATCAAAAAAAGTACAGCAACATGTACATAGCAATTTCAAATATAGATGAATCCTTTTCAGCAAGTTGGACACCTAGAAAGTTATGTTATATTTTGAAGTAAATCTGATCCAAAACATCCTGTGGATGGGCTAGCGAAATCCGAATCACCAGTTGATAGATGATAAACATCCCGTTATTTATAGGGTTTCAACATGTTTCAACCATCCGGGTGGTGGATTTCGCAACCATCCACAGTAGGAACACTTCGATCATTTTTGTTTTGGATCTCGGAAGCCTAAACCCTCAGGGCTATGCCGTGGACTTTTCCTTGAGCAAAGCTTTGCACCAGCGCCCTGGCCGGATACATAGGGATTCCGTAATATACCGGTAATGGCTGACATAGCTATTGAACATGGCCCATTTATAGTTGATTTACCTATTAAAGATATTAAAAGATGGTGATTTTTCCATAGTTATGTTAGTTTACCAGACGGTATAAACCCTCTGTAAATACAACATAGCCAACCCTCTAGTAATTTCTTACAAACTGGCAGCCATGACCACTTAGTTCTTTGATTTACCGTTCTTCAACATAGTGATTGTCCAGTTCGCAAACTATTAGTTCAACATAATCATAGTTATACCCCCTACCTTTGTTAACCAAGTTGCTTGCGTCAACTTAGCTAACTGTAAGGAGCCCCTTTCTGTATACAGCTAGTTCTGTAGATGATTTTAGCTCGACTTTAAGAAATTTGTAGAGGATCTTAATTTTAGCGATGGGAATGCTTCATATGTACTTGGCAAATAATAAAACATATTACTTGTGATAGTTACACCATCTTTTCAATTCATGATGTTTTTACCATGGTTTTTACCATAGTTATGATTCCATCCATTGTGGAATCATCCTGGTGGATGCTTTTGTACAGTAGATGTCCTCTGGATTTCGCCAGGACCTTGACCTTCGTCGAGGATGGAGATGTGCCAACTCCAGGTCATCCATGATTCGCTGGGGAGATCACCGTTTGAACATGGGAATATCCATGGGTTTTTATCGTATACCCTCTGGTAATTTGTTACAGTTTGCGAACTGGAAAATGATTTTATGGCCCATAGAAATAGATTATTGACCTATTAAAGATGGTGATTTTCAATAGCAAACTGGTAGTTTACCAGAGGGTAGTTCTAACAATTTCTTACCCATATTCCAGGGATGAACGCTTGGTAGAAGATTTTCTGAATATGGGAGTGTTCCCTTTAGAATAGATAGCCAGTTGGCTGATCCAATATTTCAATAGCTTAGTAGAACCCAAAAAATACCCTAAAATCCAATATCTGAATATATAGGTATCTGAAAATAGTAGAAACCAAATGTTCTTGAATAGTGCAATCTCAAAATGATGTATACCCCCAAATGGGTATTAAACATCGGGAAACTGATCATTCTCCAATGGATTTAGAGCTACGCTATGCCGCTATTTTCAGACAACCCATATCATTGCGTTGGTTTATGATGTTAATACATATCCTATTATATATATCCCCTAAATACTCCTATTATATATCCCATTATATATCCTATTATGATTATCCTATTGTTAGTATATATCCCATTCATACTCCGTTAAATGAATCCCATTATCCATGAATGAATCCCGTCCCCTTAATACCCGGGGACGCGATCAACTGCATGAAAAATGCTCGTTTACCAAAAAATCTGGGCAAATTATAGCGACCTCACGTCGTGACCTCACTGGAATCATGGTTTTTATATGTTCACATACATACATACATACATACATACATACATACATACATACATATGTATATTAATTTTCCCTACACATATACACATACATATATATATATACACATATGTATATCACTTTTCTTTACACATGGGTTCCTAACCGGTTGTAGTGGCAGGTGAGAAACTCGCCGAGGTGTGCCGCGGCCTTGGCGGGTATCCACAATACTTGGAGATAGAACCATAAATGAACTAAAAAAAACTGGTGAATCTACTGAAAAATGGTATATTAATGGTATATTAATGGTATATTAATGGTATATTAATGGGATATAAATGGGATATTAACTAAAACTGAAAATTTAATCTATATTTATGGCATATTAACCATGAAACATATAGATATAATGGGATATTAACCATGTTTCATAGAACCATAGGACTGGAATGATTGGTTTTTTCGATGACGAGCATCGACGATTTTTTGGGTTTAAAACATATTTTTTTTAAGCCAGCAGGTAATGTCAACCCCAGATTCATGGATTCTGGTTGAAAAAAAATGTGGTACCGGCAAGCAGTGACCATTGGTCACATGTGCAATTGCTACTCCCAACTTCAGCAGTCCAGGGGTTAACATGAATTTTCGGGGTTGACATTAGAAAAAAAAACAGATGGACCAAAAGAGTTGGCGGTTTCTGATGGTCTTGGATGTTTTGTGTAGCAAACCATCGGCATCAGTTTTTTTGGTTTGACGGACACAACAACACACATTTTTTGCAAGACTCAAGTGATCTTGTCGGATACTGGTTGTGCTTCAATGCCAGGTGTTGGCATGAGATATTCAATTGGAAGAAACAAAATTTGAACTTGCACTGTCCATATGTTTAGGGCCATACTATTATAACTTTGCATTATCTTGCACTTGAACAAAATTGAATTTGGAGTTTTGACAGTAGCCATTTCTATTCGAACAGCTAGGGAAACCCATTTCCAGCCACTTTCTGAACAAACAGAGCTCAGTTGGGACAGAGAAATCTGGCGAAATTCTGCAGAAATTCTGAAGTTCAAGGAGAACCCCCCAGACACCTCATTTGATCAAGATGTTTTTTCTTTGGTAGTGAAATGGGTGTTTCTCAAAAGAGATACCCAAGTCAACCACGGGTTTCAATACTAAAATTGTCTAAGGACTGGATGATTTGGAGGGTAGCCTCATTTTAGGAATCCAACATGATTGTTTGATTGAACATTTGCCAAAGATTGGACACGCTGGTCATTTAGAATTCATAAAATGTGATCAGAAAAAACACATGACATCTCGCAATTTCTGTAGCTTTTGTTTAATCTTTTGCCCCTAATTTTCGAAGCAAAAAACCGAAAAACTGCACCGAGGTTTGTATGTGGTGTCCATGGAGAAGCTGAAAACGGCCTATGAGAAGTGCTCCGAGGTTTTCGGCACCCAGTGACCCAGTTTTCGTTGCTAACGGCTGGAGGTTTCCATAATCCTGGTACCAACAAAAATTGCTGGATGGTTTATGGAACATGCTATTATATAAAATGGATGAGAACTGGGAGTACCCCTATTTTAGCTAATTTTAGGACCCCCCCCATATGGTATATGTATCATATGTATTCATATGATCCATTTTCCATGCATATCCCAATTGTATTCCATAAGAATTGTACCGTTAATCCAATTAGATGCAACACTAGCAAGTGTGGAAGAACATTGGGTGCGTCTGAAAATGGGGATACCTCCAAAATAGCAGTTTTAATAGATGTTTTTCATTGGGAGTATAATCATCAAGTGTCAAGTTTAGGAGTACCTTATTTTCAGACAAGTAACCCATTAGTACATACCACAGTTATGGAATATCCCGAGTTCTTCATGGCTTATGCATGGGTTAGCACTCCATATCATAGGGTTGGTTTATCGTGTTGATTATATATTCCATTGAATATCGGCTTCATAGTCCATTAGATATTAGCACATACAAGTCAAGTCCATCATTCATATGGCTATGGATCAATACCTATTACAAAATACCATTTTGGATGGGGGTTATTCACATCCATTTACCATCCCAGCTATTTTGATGTGAACAAAAAAGGGGTAAATCCCTGCTTAGCAAGTCCACCACATCTGGGGATTTTCCATATGTAATGGGAAGGGAGATGGGATAGCAAGTTGCGACAATGACAATTCGAGGCCTTATATATGTATACATATGCATATATATATATATATATTTAATATTAAATATTATATATATGGGTTAATTACAATAATCCACTCACCTGAAATAAGGTCATTTGGGGATAGTCACCCCTACTAACGATCATTCCCAGTGAGGTCGCAGTGAGGTCGTTGTAATTTACCCAGATGTATATACCTCTATATATATATGGATTTGTGATGATCAAAGATGACCGGCTCCAAGTTCCCCAGGCTGGCCTTGTTGAAGCCACTTGGGAGGACACCACCGCGGCAATGGGTCCCTTAAGCCATTGGATTTTTCCAGAATCGCCTCAGTGATGACAAGTGGTTTTATGGAAAGCCGGGCAACCACAGGTCTCCATTAAATGGAGTTATATATCCTGTTTGAAAAAAAAGAAAATTATAAACGATTGGACCCCACTTCAACATCTTGTATCCTCCGGTGACCAAACATAGCAACGGTTCCAAAATCCCCTTAGATGATTTACCTCTTCAAAATGGTGATTCTCCCTAGCTATGTCAGTTCAAAACGGAAGGTAAACTGCGCAGTGGTGAAATTACCAGTGGTCGTAGAACCCACCAATTTCGATTTTTACATTACCAGAGGATATCATGGTAAATCCCAGCATTTTTTTCTCAAAAAAATGGTAAGAAAAAACCCGCGCGACCCGGAGGAAGTTGAGAACTCCCGGGAGTTTAGCTTCTCGCGTTGTGGGGCCCTCGCAGTGGGAAGTTTTTTTTTTAAGCCAAGACTGCCGCTTCATGGGGATGGGTACCCCGTTACCCATACGGATGTGTCCTAAAAAAAAAGAGTACCCCCAAGTCACCATGGGTGTTCAATTCTAACCATAGTCTAATGTCCTTATAACCATGGGTGTTCCTAATTATGGCACTATTAGTCATTCATGACTTGGATGATTGGATGTTGGTACCTCTATTTTAGGAAACGCATCTTTCAATGGGGGAATTTTGACATCCAGCTATGCAACATCCATCGACGCTCCACGGGTGCCGCAAACGGGTCCGGGTGCCGTTTGGATTTGACTCAGCCAGCCACATCAAGAAATTCTTTCGAAACAGGGATGTGAGGGAAATATCATGAAATATTCGCGGGAAGGATATAGAACAAAAAAAAGAAGCAACTTAAGATGACAATCTGATGATAATCTTGGGCCTGAATGAACATGGGGTTGGAAAAACCGCAAAAGAGAGTGTTTTTTTGGGGGTGTTCCCATAAAATCTGGGCAAAAAAAATATCAGGGCAAAAGTCGGGGGAATCATCCCCAAAGGTCCAAACATTTCAGGTGCTTTTTTAAGGAGGGGGCTGGCCAAAGAGAAGATCAGTGGCTGAAAATTTCAGGTTAGTGAAATATTATGAAACATTAACCCAGATACCCTCTGGTAATTTAAGACAGCTATTGAAGCCATGGCCATAGAAAGTTCGCTGATTTATGAAAAGTGTGGATTTTACACAGCGAACTGTTAGTTTACCGGAGGGTCATATTCAGAACCCAGGTGAAATTGACTAATTATCCCCAAATGGTCATATTTTTCCTATATTTATCCCAGAATCCAGATTGAATATTCATTTATCCCACATAATCCCATATCCCCATTGGATTATACGGGACCAAGTTCACTAAGTTTTCCAATTGCACCGGTTTCCGCAGAAGGGTGAAGGTTGGGGTCTACCAAAAAATGGTGGCTGGAAAATCCTCCGGAACGAAATATTCTGTGTTACCCTCTGGTAATTTGTGACAGTTTGCTATTGGAAATGGCCATAGAAATAGTGAGTTTTCCCATTCAAAATGGTGATTTTCCATAGTTTTTTGTATGTTTACCAGAGGGTAATAGATGGGAAACTCCCCACTAAATGGGTGTGTCTGAAAATAGGCTAAACCCCTAAACCCAATGGTTTTGCTGATCATTATCCCTATTAAATGGCTATTTCATTGGGAATATACCCTATTTTCAGACAAACCCAAATGGCTGGATTTGTCCATTCCTATGTTTGATGACCGGAGGGCCACTGGAAAACAATGGAGAAAAGGTGGGCTTCCAGATTTTTTTTTGCCCATTTGGCCCGACCTGGAAAGCCATGGAGCGTATTTCTGGTAGTTCTAGCCGCAGCATTGTGACGAGGCCCAGACCCGACCGACCAGAAGATAGTGCTGGAACTGCCAGGGCCCCAGGGCCCCAAATTTCGTCTTGGCGATGATAGAATATCCCAATTTATGGCCAATGGACAAATGATGAATCTGGGGGTTATTTAAGGGGAGCTGATCCTATTAAACGACAAACCCATATACATACAAGATACATATGTACATATGTGTATGTGTATATATATATACACATACATGTATGTGTATATATATATATACATATGTATGTGTATGTATGTATATATATAGTGCACATATATAGTGCATATATATATACATATATATATATATACACATATACATATATATATATACAGATATATATATATATATATACATGTATGTATATATATATATATCAGGAAAATTGAAAGCACCAACCAGTTGTGCATTGAGAAGTCGAAACGCTTAGTTTTGAAAACCTCCCAACTTCATCTGAACGGGATGGCTGACCCGGTAGGCTATGCTGATCTACTTTCGTCTGAATGGATTGAGATATCAATGGAATACTTGGAGGACCATCACATTTTTCATGGAAAATTAATCATTAATTGGAATATACTTATGGGGAGATCTTCACGGAATATCAATAGTTTACTTGGAGGACCATTGTCAATTGTAATCATCCCATTTAGTAAGTGGTTAGTAATGGAGTATTCTTTGTGGGATATTTAGAATATTACTTGGAATATCAATGGGATTGCTTCTGGGTAACTTTTGATGTGGTTAGTAAGTGGGGTTAGTAACTGGGATGAGTTACAGGTGCTCGCTTTTGATATCAAGTATATCAAGATCAATATTGGGATATTAGGATTATTAGGATATAAATCGAATACTTGGAGGACCATCTCATTTTGATGGATAATTAACTGATGATTAATGGAAATATGAATCTCATGGGGAGATGTTCATTGAATATGAATGGAATATGAACGGACTACTACTGATATACTATATGAACTATACATAACCAGCAATTGTCATGTTCAAAGTTTGTGGGATACTAATTGGGATATCAAGGGACTGTGGGATTTCAAGCTCATACGTAGGACTTCTAGGAACATCTGGTGATTGGCGAAAATCCAACCGAACACACTATGAACATGTTCCAAATACCCTCTCTGGTAAACAAACATAGCTATTGAAAATGGTGATTTATAGTGGATTTATCCATTAAAAATTGTGATTTTCCATAGTTATGTTAGTTTACCAGAGGGTACCAGGAATATCTTGGCACTGGGGAAAATTCAACGGAACTATCATGGGATATTTTTTGCTGGGATCATCACAGGATGCCATAGAGGGTTTTGGTGGAAATTCCAAGAGAGAATGGGGGAAATCATGAATTATAAACGAAAACCATCTGGTTATTTAACATAGCCATGGAAAATGGCCCATTTATAGATGGTTTACCTTTTAAAAATGGTGATTTTCCATGGCTATGTTAAATAACCAGAGGGTAAATCCAAAACATAGGGGCCATGTCTTGGGAAAATAGTAAAAATATCTAACGAAATCATCGGATGATACTGGGATGATAATGGGTATAAAGGGCCATGGGATATAGTTGGGATACAATAATGATATGATTTGGATATTATATACATATATACTGGGGATATAATGGGGTGTAATGGCCGAATTAATGATCAAGCAACTGTTCTTTTAAACTGCCCCAATGGGTACCATTTGGGCCATGTCTTGTTAGTGATTTTACACCCATAAGTTGAGCGTCGAACACTCGAAATGCTAGCAAGGTCTTACAAAGAAAACTGGAACTCCAGAGAAATGTTAGCAATCATGGGTCCCATGGGTCACTTTACTCCACTATCAGTGAGACGACCAAGAAATGCTTTGACTTTCCAACGCCAGGTTGGCTTGACGCGTTCATGGGGATTCCTAGATGCTACAAAAAAGTAGTGGCTGAGCCGTATATTCCATATATCCTCATTAGTGTCAAGAAATATACCCTCTGGTTATTTAACATAGCCATGGAAAATTACCATTTTTATTAGGTAAACCCAGGTAAACCATCTATAAATGGGCCACTTTCCATGGCTATGTTAGTCATAACCAGATGGTAACCACAAGAGTACCCAAAAGGTTTGCCAAGTGCAATGGGTCTGATTATTTAGCTAAGCCAAATTCAGAATTCATTTGTCCCAACAAAATTTGATGCTCAGTCGTAATGGTCTACAGTACACCTTCAAAAAAGAACAAGTACATACGCCTTAATCCCCTTTCGAGTCATATTCTTATTATACTATACTTATTATCCCAGTTAACTATACTTATTATCCCCATAAGCATCCATTAACCATGAAAATTATGCTGCTGTTATTCCATTGATATTCCCATCATATCATTGCTATTCCCATATGAATATATCTCAATATATCCCATTAATTTCTGGTTGTGGTTTGGAACATTTGGAAGATTTTTCCATTCAGGTGGGGTTTTGTCATGTCATCATGTCATCCCAACTGTTACTCAAACTCCATCATTTTTCAGAGGGGTTGAAACCTCAACCACCAACCAGATATATAGTTTGGTATATTAACCATAGGAAATTCACCATGGTTTTAACCATGGTTTTTCCCCAACCAGTAATATTAACCAGAAATTTGAGATTCCCATATTTTGAGTTATTTCCATCTGGGGATGGGATTTTGGAACATCCAGCTATGCCATATGTTCATATCCCATATGATCCATGAACTACAATGATTAGCTAAGCATTCCATATATATAATTATGTATATTCCGACTGTAAGTCCATTTATACTTGGTATATCATATATATTATTGACATTGATCATGGATATAGTCATATAATATCATATAATATCATATATTCATCATATATAAGATGATTCATCATATATAGTGTACGTATGTATATATATATATATACAATGTCAACCCTCGATTAACAAACCCCGTTTACGGCTGTTTAATTGGGGGGGTATCATTTAAGTATCAGATGAAATGACTATTGAGGGGAAGTACCCCCCTAATTAATCAATGGCCATTTCAGGAACCGATTCATTGGAGGTACCTACCATATATAAGGCCTATATAAGGCCTAAATTTCAGGGAATATCCCAGCAAAATATGGCCAAACATATGGTACTAACGTACCTCCATTTTAGGATCCTGAAATTCCCATGGAATTAATAAACAACTATGGTTTATTAATCCGGGGTTGACATAGGCTATCGTCTCAGATCATCCCCTTCTAGGCGGCATCGTCTCAGAGCCCCTGAGCACAAAGAGTGGCCTTTGCCCAAGGTCACTGACGACGGGCCGCGCGAAAAATATGCTGCTAGGGTAGTGATTCGCAATTTTATGGGGATATCATGAGGATTTTATGGGATTTTATGGGTATTTCATTGGGATTTGATGGGCATATCAATGAGATGGATGGTGATTTAAGCATCCATATTTAAGGAGAGAGAATGGAAATGGATAGAGATATGCTAGGACGCAGAGCCATCATGAACCAACAGATCTGCTAATTTGGGCGTGTCTGAAAATGATTCCTTTGTACCGTACCAAATGGTGATAGGATGATAGGAAAATGTGTGATTCACCCATGGCTGTGGTTGACCACATATCGATGGATGGCTGATGCCCATAGTTTTGTGAATGTGCAGAAATATATAGCTTTTGACCATGAAAAAAGGCCGATGATAGGTGGATCTTTGATCCACCACACACGAGCCCTAAGCATCAAACATCTGATTAATGGATGGTGAATGGAGGCTGGGTTGTTCATGAGGAATTGTTGATTGGTGGTTGACTGGTTGGCCATAGTCAGATGATGAGTAGGTGATTACAAATCATTGGGCCAGGATGAGGTACTGACTGTTCACCTGGGGTGAAGTGGGCAACGCTTGAGCCACATTTGGATTCCATTCCCCACTGCAATGTTGCCGTGTATCCCCAATGAACCAGGCCAAGCCTTCCCCAAAAATTAACACAGAGCCTGATGATAGCCTACTTTTTGTGGACACATTTTTCTTCCAACCCTAGGCAGGTCCAGATCCCAATTGTTGCCTGGTAAACCTTGAGTCTTGAGTAGCGTTTAGTTGGTTTGGCCATGTTTGAGGCCAGAAATTTCTGGCTTTAAGCGTATCCAATGTTTGTTTGTCTGGAAATCTAAGGTCAGATATCCATGACTATACCTAATCTATTCCCATTAGCCCCCCAAAAAAATCCATGATGATCGGCGAAGATCCCCACTTTCCTTTTTGAATCCTAACTCATATGCGGCTATATATATATATATACATATTAGTATTACCAATTTATATTCATTGATGGTTAAGATATCTCCAAATGATTGCTGATTCAGCCAGACTTTTCTGCCTTTTCTGCCAGGACCTTCCAAGCCGTGCCGTGTTTTCCAGCGCTAGCTGAAGTGCCGATGTGATTCTCCACGGAGATCACAGAGCAGCAAACTCATGGGGTTGACGAACAAGAGAAGCGGCTTCAACCAGGAAAAGGGATTCAAAGCATCAAAAGGTGGGGATTGAAAGCTTCAAACTGATTGAACCATCGAAAAAAAAATTCCAGAAACATCTTTGGCCCAGTAAGGATGGCACCCAAGTTGAAGCCATTACAAGTTGGGCACAACTTGTGGAGCCTGGCTTAGGAAAAGATTCCAAGTCACGTTTGAGGTTATTGAGGAAACATATACTGATGTTGGACTGCTGCTGTCATTCCAGTTTCCTCAAACAGATGTGTTTTTTTAACATCTCTTAAAGCTTTTCTGCAGGAAATCAGCCCTGCACTTTTTGCAGTTTTCATGCGACGTGCATGCAAAGCAAAGCACAGTTGGCACTCAAGTCGCGCGTGATGCTCCTTCAACCGCTGGAAAAAAGAGACATAGATCTCAGAGGTGCCATGAGATTTCCCATTTTGAAGGTTTGAACACTGCTGACATCTCAATTACAAAATGCCGTAAAAAGTCTCAACATACTCTGGAAGAAATCCTGCATCAGTAAGCATCCCCTTCTAATTTACAGGGTTTCGCAGGAACACAGAGTCAGGTACCAACTGGTGATTCGGATTTCGCTGGCCCATCCACAGTTACAATTGGACATGGCCTGAGCCAAGAGCATCCGTGGTTCCACGCTTCATTTCTCCCAGTGCAGCTGGCCACGGAGATTCACGTGTCCCAAAAAGAGCTTTTGGTTGTAGCTGAATCACTTGAAGAGATTTGGATCTAAGAACAATCATGACATATGGGGGTGTCCGAAAATAGGGATAACCCAAATCATCCCAGTCATTAGACCATTTTAGTGTTGAAACCCATGGTTTTGCGGTACTGGTAGCACCATTTGAGGAAACCCACCATCGAAAAAAACGGAGATACCGTAGACCGTAGATACCCATCTCCAGCGTGGGGATTCATACAAGTTAGAGGTCCGAATTGTCATGGTTTAGGGATGTTTAGGGAAAAATGATGAAAATTACATAAAATTACTCGTACTTTAAAAAAGAGTTGATCAAAGGAAGTTTAGAAGTCAAACTTCCGACAATATGGACAGATGAAAAGCAGAGATGGGAAGAGACAGAGAAGAGGAGCGAAGAAGAAAGAAGATCAAAAAAGAGAAAGTCTCAGAAGAAAGAAGATCCAGATGCCCGAAAAGGTAGGAAAGTCGCGAAACACTGTTTTTCCAATGATTTGTGGCTCCGGAGGGTCGAAAAGTAGGCTCGCTAAAGCGGCGGGTGCGGAGCAAGCTGGCCAGATGAGAGATGAAAATTGCACGCCGTTGTGGCGCAGAGCACAGTTCCAAGTCAAAATGTACAAAACACCTCAGCTCCGGAGCACTTTTAGAAGTTGAGATGTCGAAAAAGTGCACGGCGTTGTGGTGCCAAGCACATTTCGAAGTCAAAATGTACAAAACACCTTACGTTCGGAGCGCTTTTGGAAGCTGAGATGTCGAAAAAGTGCACGCCGTTGTGGCGCGAATCACATTTCGAAGTCAAAAGGTACAAAACACCACATGCTCGGACCACTTTTGGACGTTCAGATGTAGTTTCGCGTGGCGGGCGCACGGGATTGTGCACCTTGTCAAGAGTGAGCAAAACGTGAGGGTTTTGTAGCATTTCGTTTTGGCAGGCGTGGGACATTTGAAGAGGATCTACAAAAATGCATTTTCCGTGGCAGGCGCAGTACAAGAGACATGTTCATCAGAGCTGTTAGGAGGTCCGGGCGCTGATTTCCTGAGAGGGGCTGCATTTTGGAGCATCAGATCTTCAGGTTTGCTGAGATGATTTTGCGTGACAGGCGCAGCACTTCGTATGACCTGGTATCACTTTTTCGTGGCAGGCGCAGTAGTTTAGACAGGTGGAGTCGAAACATCGCAAAACGCATTGGTACGATGCCGTCAGCTCTGCACTCAACTTTCCATTTTTGAAGGAAGTCTCGCAGAATTGTTTCGTTTCTGATGTTGTCACCGTCGAAAAATGACGAAGTCTCGCAGAATTGATTCGTTTTTGCACTTGTCAACTTCAAAAATTGAGGAAGTCTCGCAGACTCGTTTCGTTTTTGACGTTGTCAAGTTCAAAAACTGAGGAAGTCTCGCAGAATAGCTTGGTTTTCAAGCTTGCAGATTGCAGCTAGATAGCTAGATAGATAGATAGGTAGGTAGATAGATAGATAGACAGACAACTACAACAACAACTACAACTACACTACAACTACAAATGCAAATAAACTATGCTACATTACACTACACTAATTACACTACACTACACTAATTACATCTGATGACACTACACCACACTAATTACACTACAACTACTACAGCTACCACAACCACAGCTACAATTACAACTACACCACATTACACCACACTGCTCTAATTACATTGCAGCACGCTACAACTACAAATACAAATGCAACTACAACTGCATTACATTACACAACACTACGCTACACTAATTACATTGCATTTCACTTCAACTACAACTGCAACTGCAATTGCAACTACCACTAAATTGCACTGCACGACGCTACACTAATTGCACTACATTACACTACAACTACAGCTACACTACTTTACACTACACTCGACTACACTACACTATACCAAACTACAGTACACAACACTACAGGACACTACAATACACTACACTAATTACACCACACCACAACTACAACTGCAACTGCAACTACAATACACTAATTACACAACAGTACAACTACAACACTACATTACAACTACGACTACAACTACAACTGCACTACACCACACTGCATCCAGCAGTTGTGGTGAGGTGACCACTGCAAACATTGCAACCACTCCAAAAAACACAGCTCCAACCACCTTTCGGTCCATCAGTGGACTCGCTCTGCCATCCGTGATTCGCTACAACCAACCTCTCCTATAGGTTTCCTATTTTTGAAACTTTCGCCACCGCCTTGTGCAGTACTACTGGTACTGGAGATTCATGAGATTTTCACCAGACATAAGCTATCCAAAGAGTGTCTCAATTTTTGTTGGGCCCTTCAGTGCTTGCCCTTCACACTACTTCGCCATGTCGCAGCGCGCCGCGGAAACAGCCCGACAGAACGCAGAGTGCAGCGGGCACGTCGTCGCGTCCTCATTTTTTCTCATGGAGAATGGGATATTGCCCATATTGGATCATAGTGATATTAATTGAGGTTACCACTGCCTCATTTTTTCTAATAGATTCCCATATTTATCTATGGCAGTAGCATGGGAAAATCTATGGCAGAATTTTAGAAAATGAACTTCATGGAATTCACCGGCGATATTGCGATCGTCCCTGGATCAGAATGGGAAACATCTGGGATCACTTTTTCTGAATGGGGGGATAAGCAGTAAGCATCTCTTAGCCATCTAAATGCCCGAGTAATCCCATATATATATATATATATATAGATAGTGATAATATAACCAGTAATATCATGCAATATCTACAACTGGATCATCAGTAAGCATTTATTTTCGGCGACCAAAAGGTGTCCAGGTTTGACATGTTTTGAGGTGGATCCCGTGGCCCGACAGAAGTTTGAGGCGCGGTTCGGGGCTGGCATTGTTTTGGATCATGATCACCAGAAAAACACATCACTAGGTAGTGACTGGGATGAAAAAATCCATAAAAATAGAATTTTATACATGGGATAATGATGATAATGTGAGTGGGATGGAAACATGCATTGAATTCATGTTTAATTCACGGATAAACCACTGAGGACTTACGATCAGCCAATAAGGGAAGCTCAGCACAACCATCGGATGATCCTCTAGGATTCAACAGTCAACGGCCGCCGGCCGCTACTTTCATTGGATTGGTTTACGGTTTACGGGAAAATTGGAACCGGAAAGCCCCATGATCTTCATATATCTTCATGGTAAAGATCCCAACAAAACTAATCCAATGATCTTTTGGGAGAAAATCATGTCGAATTTTGGGATGTGTCAAGTGAGCATGGGGCATTCGACAGATGATTGAACTACTGAACTGTAACACGAATATGCACAAATGGTGTTTCCAAAGAAGAAAATAGTTGCTACTGTTTCAACTTGAAAAAAAATCTGGAAATAGCCAGTCTATCTGACCTGAGCTGAGTCCAGGGTGCCCATGTCAGCAGGTGGCACTGGGTGGTTTTTCTAACATCTCACATCCGATTTCAAAGGACACAACACCTTGAGAAAAACAGTATGTTTTTCATTCGGGACCTGTGAAACAGAGAGCGAGTTATCCCTCATGACTAGTTAAGAACAAAGCCATTTGAGCAGTTTCACAAAAACTAGTTGGTTGATGATTACAGAAGGGTGTACCTGAGATATCCTGAGATTGTATTTGGGATCACAATGTACATGAACTGGACATTCTCATGAAAAACAGCCAGTGTTTAAATGGGGACTATGCCATGTCGCTTTTATTTCCACTGCTCATAGAAGGCCCAACAGTTGGCCTAGTTCTGTGGCTCCCAAGTGGCCTTTCCCAAAGCGTGGTACCACGGCACCACCTTTAGCACCCCACATTCCGAAGCTTGAAATCCCTCGTTTTCCCCATCAAAACTGCCGTTCTACGGGTATACCCCAATGATACATCAGTGTGACACACACCACCCTGTCCGCGGCAGTTTTAGCGTCCTTATTTTTTAGCACCGGGCCCCGGTCGAGCTCCAATGAGAGCAGCGCGAAGTCTGAAAACTTTCCCCACACTTCCGGTGACATGTCGCAGACTTTTGGGAGATGGGAAGAGACGGCAGTTTGTGGAGGTTTCCTAAAATAGATGTAACCCCATCCCAAATTGGACCATTTTAGTATTGAAACCCATGGTTTTGGGGGTGCCCCTATTTTAGGAAACTAGGAAAGCTCCATGCTTCAAAATGGACCATATACCCCTAACATTATTAACATTGCTATTTCCCAACAAAAGTCATTGTTTGGCTTTCAATCTCGAAGCCTGGAAGCTGCTTTTGGGTTGCACCGAAAATCGGGAACCACCGATTTTGATGCTGAAAAACAATTATCCGTAAA